ATATTAAAATTTTGCTTGAAAATTCTTTTGAGTATCTAGATTCTTCTGCTAATTTTATTTTAAAATTGCATCCGGTTATATTTTATAATTATTTTCACAAATTATACCCCACATCGCTAAAACTTTTTTTATTATTCTCTTAACTTTCTTGTCTTTAATATTTTCACCCCAAGACAATGCGGAAGTATGTATATATCTTCTGAGAAATTCTTAAAATATTTTATATGTCTTTCCTAAAGATGATGTGTTTAAAGTTCTCCTTAACAATCCTTAAAAGTGTTCTCGGGATTCTTCTTGAGACTCTCTCAGGATTTCCTCCTTCGAATCTTCTTCGACGCTCTTCAAAACATTCTGTTCGTAGTTTTCCTCGGAGTTTCTCTTCAAGGCCATTGCACGAATTACGAGACAGACGTTCGCGCACGAGCACGGCAGATGCCAAAAAGTTTCACCGGGAATTGAAGTGACCACGAGAGGAGCAAGAGGTGAAGGAGAAGCAGGAAGGCAAAAGATTGGTGATGCACAGACGAGGAACACGATGCCACCTTGGTGAAAGCCACCGCGAAGAAGAGGCTTCCTTGCCGCACCGAGTGCCGCTCCCGCCAAGCGGAAGATTATCTAAATAGACTCTGTGGGCCAAAGAGGGAAGGAACAGAAAAGGAAACGAGACGGCGGCTTAGGAGGAGAAGAGGACCCACAACGAATCGGTATTTATACGTCGTGCCTTTGGAGAGCCAGTGGCCGCGACCAGGAACATCCCTCTTCGTGTCCGCGAACAAAACGCACCGGATGCCATTGATTTTCTTCGACCATCGATTGGAATTCACGGGGCGCGCCGCAACAGGAATTAACAGCCTCATCGGCAAGAAGATCTGAGAGACAGAAAGAAGTAAAGAAAGAGAGAAAGAGAAACGCGGGTTAATCAGCTGCGCCAGCGAAACCGAGGACCTTTACTCTTTGAATACATCGTTGTGCATTTCTTGGGTGGTAGAGATTACTGCGAGATCTAATCTGAGTTTCGTCTTCGGATTTATTTCATCGTTTATAACAACGTAGTTGTAACTTTCGATAAGTAATTATGTACGGGTGTATCTTTAATATTATGTATGATAAGCTTTTACTGCATTTTCCAACAACAACGGTATCATTAAGAAATTTATCTCTTATTTTATCAGAGACTTTATGAATACCGTTTGTTTTAACCTTTTTAACATTCAAGTTTTAATATAATTGTGATTAACAATCGTTTTTAGAATATTTTGTTAAAATAAAATTTGTATACGATTGAAGTAAAATATTAACTTAAAGCAGTTATAAAAATACTTAGATTTTCATTAACTATTTTGAAATAAAAAAATTTTAATGTTTCAACATTGTTTCATAGAAAATTTAAACTAATTTTTATTTCATATTTAATTACAGAATCTTATATTTTACATAGAATAACTATTAAACTTTCTAGTTAGTTTAAAATTTAAAGTAATTTATTTTGACATTTAGTTGCCGGTATTAATAATAAAAGTTGTATAATTGCCGTAATAAAACAAAGATTTACGATTGTTTCTGATTAGAAAGAGGAGAAGATGAAAGAAATCTGAGTTGTACACGTTCGCAGCTGTTTTAATACAAGTGTGGATATCAGGTGTTGAACCTGATTACTGCGTTTGGCGCGAAATTCCTTAGACGCTTACGTAACTACGGATACAATAAACTTAGTAAAAAAAAAAAACTTGCGCCATTTCTATAATTAACTGTAAGAAGTGAACTAGGCAATGGAATTTCTTCTTGTTTGCTCTCTCGTTTCTTGAAACAATTCGCACTTCACACTTCATGGCATTATAGACTTTGATAATTAATTTGAAAAAAAGAGCAAATATTCATTAAATATTTGCTCTTTTTTAAGCAAGTACTAAAAATTCCGCAAAGAATGTGTTTCTGAATCAACTTGGTATTCTATGTATACAGCGATTGTGTGTGTGTATGTATGTGTATGTGTATGAAATTAGATATAGTTAAATACGCAAAATATATCATTAATTTATTCGGAATCTTATTAAGAACAATTGAAGCAAATAAAAATACGAAAAAAATATCGATGCGGAAATAGCAGTAACCTTTAGTAAGTGTAATTAGTTAACAATAAATAATTCGTTCCTGGAATCAGAGGAAGAGAAGAGAAAAATATCATAGATCGCGGATATGAAGACAATGAGAGAGGGTCGCGTCGGCATTTATGAATATAACATTCGCTCGTCTCGTAACGTTGTTCGAGAGGAAAACATCGCGATTTTTTATCGATCGGTGAAAGTTCACCGGTGATCCCAGGCAATCCCGGAAGCCGCGCTGCTCCACTCGTCGCAACGTGGAAAGAATTGGTATTGTGCATCGCACGCGCTCGAGCTCGGACGAACGCGTGCAGTCGCCTCTGGTTCAAGCCGTTTCAGCAAGGGCCGTTGAACCGAAACGACCAACCGGAACGACGTCCGATACTTTTTCCTTCTTCAATAACGGGCGATCCGCCGCGCGCGGATACTAATCGAGCGAAAATCAAGGACGCTCTGGCGAACGTCGCGTCGCGCCCCGCCGCGCTCGATTTCAGGGCCAAGAAAGCGCGCATTGCAATGCAAAAGCAAGGGACTCGTCGACAGAAAGAAGCGAATTTTTACTGATTATTTGTAGTAATAAATTTTAATAATTACCAATTTTCACTTAACATTGTTTAATAATTATTCTTTCGCTCACTTCACACTCGGATTATTTTTAGCCTAAACGTATAAATAGCTACAAAGCGGAAACTCAAAGAATATTTTATCTTTGAAACCCGTGTTTGAAAATTTCATGCTAAATGTATTCTGGAAAAGAAAAGACTTCAAAATTTGTTTAAGATAAAAATTGCATTTAATATGAATATAGATCAGAATTATATCCATTTACATTTGATTTTAAAATATATATGTATCTAAGAAAAAAATTCAGATCATTATATATTAACATAATGTATATCAACGTAAAAATTTTACTTTACGAAGAAAAATGGATAATCTTGTAAGTCTAGTAAAAATATATTCTGGCTATTTTTGCTGAATTTATGACAAACTTTAGTTACCTCAAAGTAAAAAATATCTTCTAAAAGAAGTGTAAAGTAAAAAGTACATTTATAAATTCATTCAAGATTATTACCTTAGTAAAGTAAGTTATATTATTCTCAAGCACAAACAATTCTCAAAATTTATTTTATAAAATGTAAAAAGTACTTTAGCATACGACGGTTGATTATTTACTCAAAAAGTAAAGTAAATTTTACATAAGTAAGCGCCTGTCCTTCTATGGACATGCCAAAATTTACTAGAATTCTACTAGCGCATATTACTTTACATTTCTCTCCATATTGATAAATTCTTTGATTTTTGCATTTTAATTAATTCTACTGGCATCTCAGAATTTATAAAAATCTACAATTTTGATATTTTATTAGAATAGTTAAGTACAAAGACCACATCACATCCCTCTCACGTTTCATCCTACGTAAGGATCTCGGCTATTTTCCGAATTCTCAGAGTCTAACTCATATAACATCCATAAAGTTAAAATAGGATTATCGCATTCCGTGATCTTCGAACCGTACCTCGTCCGACATTCATAAATTCCGGCAGGACAACGCAAGGTTTTACTAGGTGTACACTAAAAGAAAAGATTGGCTGAATATGTCATAGCATTTTTAATTGGTTGCTGCAACCAACTAAAAATATGTGGCTATATTTTACCATCTAATTTGATGCAACAGTCAATTTTTTCTTTCAGTGTAGATTAACTTTATTTATTTATTAAATAAATTACATATATAGACTTACTTCTGCAGACGATCGAAAATACTTTCGCCAATGCCCTGCGCGCGATTCCACCTGAGAAAATCAGCAATCGTTGAGTGACAGCGCGCACATCCATGATCAGAAATCAACCGATGAAATGTATCGCCAGCAACCGAGCACTTGGAGACTCGCGGATTTTCGTTGATGCTCCGGCGTTCACCGCGTGCACGCGCACTCACCGCGACGTTTGCGTTGGTCACTCGGGAAAATCAGTGATCTCGATCCCGATCACGAAGGAGAGATCCAGTCAAATCACCGCGTCGATCTTAACTGCGCGCACTGGCACAACGTATATCCGTGGCACACATCAACACAACGCAACCGTTCTACAAATCTAGATACTTCACTTCTTCCCGATTCCGCCTTTGGACCCCCAAGGAGAACGAGAAAGTTAAAATAATGTCACATCAACCGAATCATGACAAAAAATGACACAAATTCGGTTAATATGACGTTAAATTAACATTATTTTAACTTTCTTGCTCGCCTTGGACCGCTTCTTTCCGGTTTATCATCTGATCGCGCTGCCACGAATCCGGCACCTACCGAGAAAGAATCCGTGAATTACGTTCGCGACAAACGCGATAATTTTTTTACTTCATGGATGCAATTTAATGAAACGTTAAATTCGCAGAGCGGCCCAATCTGAACTGTATTGGAAGTTTGATTTGCGAGGACTTTGCGTGTGCCTCCAAGGCAGAAAGAAACGATGCTCCGCGTGAATTACAAACTGCGACTATGATTCACATATCGGAGTAATCTCTTTTCGCTCCGCGATACCGAGAACGGTTTCGCACGATATAAATCGCAGATACTTTCTCACTTCACTTCATTTCCATCGATAGACTCTCATACGTCTTTCTCTTGCAATCATCTAAAAGAGGAATCATTTAACACACGCAAAGTCAGTGAACTGAAAAATTTTCAATCGATCAACATTTGTCCCACTCGTTTATTATCTGCTTTTAACGTGTAAGAAATTTAATTTAAGAAATTTCTCCACTTTAAAATTTAACATAATAGTCAACTTTCAACAAAGAAGACATACTACGTAAAATTTACAACAAAATTCGATTCCTAATTAGTGCAATAAGACTCTGATTTTCGTGCAATTTATCGAAAACACTCGCTGTCTGTATCTGAATCCACATATCCACAAAACTCACAGGTTTCACAGATTCCCACGTCCTTCTCTCCTCGGAAGAAGATGAGGGCCGCGCATAAAGGGCACACTCTCGAAATCGACTCCGGTTTCGATCAGCGTGGATCGGTCCCGGTGGCAGACTCGCGCGCGCGAGGACGCGTCGCAGGCGATCGCGGGCGATCTACGGGATCGCGAATGTTGGGACCGCTCGGCGCGACTCTCGAGCGTGTGTGCGTAATCGCAGCGATATAAGACGGCCGCGATGCGGTTTCACGGATGCAGGGAGAAGGGGGTTACATCAGAGAATACACGAAGAGTCCACGCTCGGCTTGGTTCGGTCGGTTGTTCACGATGACGGCGGCGACGACGACGACGACAACGACGACGACGACGACGATGACACGACGCGCGAGAACGCGCCGCGCCGAGGCATCGCTTCGACTCTGCTTCGCTTCGCAAGTGCCGACGACGGGACCGACGAATGGCTGTCCAGATCCAGCTGGGTACCACGATGAAGCTGGCCCGACTCGACGCGAGAGACCATGGCGTGTATGCACGAGGCAAGGCGGATCCGACAGCACAAACCGGCACGAAGGAACGGCTTCGACGGCGCGGAGCGTGAGCGAGAGGGGCCCGACGGGGCCTAATCTGACCGGAGGGGCTCCTATACTCCCTTTGTGCTAACTCTCCCTTGGCGAAAGGTGGCCGCCGAGCGAGAAGCTGCGGTCGGCCGAGATTTTCTTTGCCGACCATGCCTTTAACATTAACAGTAATAGTTTTACAATAATATTAATTCATATACCGATTTTATTTTTATTCTGTTTTATATATTCGCGTTTTTATGTTTATTGTTCTGAATTTTTAACTAACTCTGGTTTTATTTATTTTATAGTTTGAATATTCAATTATTTTTTAATTGATATATATTATTGCGGCTGAAAAAGATCAAGCAGAGTAAAAACTTGTTTCGCTATTTGTATCAATTTTAGATTTTAATGGATTAAACTAGGGAATATTAATTTAACATTTTTGATATCGTTGCGCTCACACTTAATCTTAGTTATATTCGATAATAGTTTTGTTATATTAAAGAACTTTACATAATTTGTACAAGTAGCTTCACATATTATATAAATATCAATGATATCAAGTTACCTGCTCCACTCTGTGTGAGCGTAATTGGTATAAATACATTTATTAAGCCTATATTAAATTTTAATAACATAAAAACTCGTGACTTTCTTTCTTTATATCTTTACTTTTAATAATTTATTTTGCGGTAATTTCTTTTAGATTTTATTTTAAAGTCTTGGTATTACCAAGAAATTTATTACGAACGTGCATCTATAGATTTCTTAGTTGAGGTTCTTATTTCGCTTGGGCGGGAGAGATCTCGGATTCAAACATTGCATCGCGTGGCTGCTCCCGCGCCACGCCGGCTAAATATTTCGCGGAATATATTAAGATATTAGTCACGTAACTCAGTGGACCTCCGCCACTATTAGCTTTCGAAGCAAAGTGATTTCCACGCGATCTTGGAGCACGTGATCGGTATCCAGAACATGCGATATTTCAGTCTTGATACTAACACCTACACTTTTATTCAATAATAACCGTTGATTCACTAAGATAATTATAGACTTTCTAGTATCTATGAAGTCTCATTTTTCAACCATTTTTTTACTCGAAACATAATTACAAAAAAAAACAAATATAAAAAATCGATTACAAAAAATTAAAATAGAAATTTATTATAATAATGTAAACAAAATAAATTATAATAAATTAATAATGCTATAGTATCTTTCAATATCGGTTATTTTTTAAATTTCGCAATATTATATTTTGCATATATTATATTTATCTCAAAAAGAGCTAATTTTAAGAAATACATTTAGCTTTTACAAATAAGATTGTAGTCTCCAGATATGAATCTTATTCTCTTATCAATTCCCCGACTCATTGTCAGACCGCGTATCTGGCGTCATATACAGTCGTTGGCTGAACGTGCGAAGGGTCGTGTTTCCATTCGCAGATAATTCACAAGAGAGTTTGCGTACAAGAATATTTTGAAAGTAAAAGAATCCTTTTTCTTCGCGTATTATCTTACATAAAAATTAACATTTGTGTTAACATATCTGTAATACATTTGATCCTTTTATGATTAAATCGAAATTATTCAAAATATATAATTTATTGTTAAATTATTGGAGTTAACATGAACGTAGCATATCTCAATCTCTCTGTTTTCTCTCTCTCTCTTTCTCTCTCTTTTTGATGCTGATACTTCGTTCAACTTGAGTGACTCTAGTACTCCGAGTACGTCAAGTTCACTTGAGCAGTTACGAGCGCCGAGGAAGAATTACATCAAATTCGGTTTGGTAATCAAACAAATAGCGCATTCCTGCGTCAGATAATATAATTCGTCGCCAAAATACTTTCCGTTCCATAAACTCAGCTGATTGCAAAATTAAACAACCAAGACGAACCGCGCGATAAGTTTTATCACAAAGATAATAATTTTAAAGTCTGAACACACTCAACGATATAAACCTGTTGCAACATTTAAATTCAACCTGCAATAACTGCATTTATATGCCGATTTTATTTGCAATTTTAAATTAATGATCTATCTTTTAAAATTTTATTTAGTGAAATATTATATGTCTCTTAATGTTCGTATATTCTTGCACCATTTATGCTAGACGCGATTTTATTGTTTAATCGTTTAATACAAAATGATCTGAAGAAACACTAGTCAAAAGCTGCTAGTAGCTAGTCTTTGATAAACAAGTCAGATAAACAATCGCACAAACTGTACGCACATGTACGCATACATCGAAGTCTACATTCATCGGCAGAAGCGGCGCGACGGGATGGCTGCTGCGTTTACTGATTATTCCGATTTGCTCAATTTGACCGGGGCATGAGAAGAGCCACGTGCTGGGTGTTGGTTGAAGATTTTGCGGCGTTGCCAGTCCACAGTTGTCTTCATTCCAACCATTGACACCGTTGAAGTACATCTCGACAAGATGGCAACGTTGACAGTGCCGCACGAGCGGCATGGTAGTCCGAGTCCGACGCCTAAATGCCTCGAGAGGCAGTTTACAGTGGTCCACCGGATGCTAAAGAAGCTGTCGCGAGGGCACCGATAAGATAGCGGGCGATCGTAGAAAACGGTACAGAAGAATGGAGAACGGAGGGATCTGTATCTAGCGCACATAACACATGCACATGTATTTATAGCTTTTCGACTAGCAGGCGTCGGGAGATGAACGCGGTTCTTGCTCCGTGTTTGGGCGTCGATGATATTCCGATGGCGGGAATATCATTAATAGGAAGTTTGAAATTACTTGTCTATCAGTGGGCAAGTATTGATGAATGGCGCGCGCGCCCGGTTTCATTTAAAAGAAATTTACTTGAGAGGGCAATGATCAACTTAGAACTCCAGATGTCTGAAGTAGAATGGGCTTTGGAACTCATAACTAAATAACATATTTGAAATGATTCTTTAAAAATCATTCTGTTTTCTATGTTATTATCTGGAAATGGTTGCACGCACAACACATGGTATTAGTAATAACAGTTTAATCGTATTCAATGATAATTTCGTCATTATTGCTATTCGATACGATCAGCTTCTCAATTTCGTGTTATTCGTTCCGTCGCATCGTTTCCGACTGGATATACCTTTGCACCTTATACTATTGCTAATCCCAATGACGTTAATCCTGCTTGTCGATGATCTACGGCGTCTTAGAGCACCGCTATCTCGACGACTGTCTGGCTCCATTACGCTGTCCGTTGTTGCGCCGAATGACTGTGAGGATTTATAGACGCATGTAGGCACTGTCCTCCCCGGAGTGAATGGATTTTATCGTTTCATAGAGCCCCGTGAAATTCCTCATGGCCGGCCGACAATGACGGCCAATCAACAAACCATTCTGATCTCCGCGTACGTCGATTACAAAAGGAAACGTTCGAACATGTCTGTCCAGAATTTTTACTGATCTTCGTGACCTTTTAATTCTTTTTCTTCACGTCACTATTCGCTTATTTTATTTCGATTAAGTTACATCGCCTTTCGTGAAAGCGTGAAACGTGTGTGAAACGATAAAATACACTTTCTACATCGTATGAACTCCATTTTTTTCTCGACAATCGAATTAGCATCGATTGATCTCAATCTACCCGGTTTCTGTTTTCCTCTGCGGTACCAACATGGCGATTCGTTACGGAAACCACGGCCAGGTAATACGAAACCGTTGTACTACATTTTCCGCGGGTTAATCACCGATGGCGCAGACTCAATAATAAATGTGACAATAACAAGTTTATCTCAAGATTATTATAAATGCTAAAATTCATTCATTTTAGGGAGAATAGTGTCTACTTATATATTTACAAATCCTCATAAAAAGAAATCAATTTTTTTCCATCTATTCAATTTCTATAAATATTTATCTCAGATCTAGATAAAACACAAAATCATAATAAAATCAAATTAAGCAGAGATTCTGATTTAGAGCGCTCAGAAATAGGAAGACAATTTAGAATTTTTTTTTAAATTATAACTCCGTTAAATTTTAGGAGCATATATATATATATTATATATATATTTAATAACAATTTTTTTTAAATTTATATATTAATGTTTGCCAAAGTTATATCCCACATAGATGTTTTATGTGACCATAATTTGCCCTTAACAATGTAGGACCTATCCAAACAATCTAAAACAAAAGAGAAATATATATATTTCATTTGTTAGCAGTGCTTCTTCTATGTGAATCTTGCTCCGGGTGAAAAATTACAAAATTTTTTTTAATAAATCTTGTTTGAAAAAAGATTAGATTTTTTTTCGTAATTTTTTCGTTACTTTTTTTAGCAAAAAGATTTATTATTAACATTTTATTGCTTTTATAGGTTTACAATTAGAGAAAATGTAATTGTTATTTCGAATTACTCACAAGATAAAACCGATCTATTTATTAGTTTTTGAATTATAACGTCAACGAACTTGAAAAATATGATTTCGAGAAGAACGCTTTTAAAGTTTTTAGTACTAATAAGTATTAATGTTCAATTTTAGTATATATACTTACAGTTAATTTCTAGTTAATCTGCCATTCCATAAAATAGAACTTTTTTATTATATATGCATCTAGAAGATTCTGTTTCCTTTTGATGCTTTTTCTAACATAAACCAATTCGCGTATTGTGCGAATAAAAACTTCCCTACCTGAACGCATCGAACGGTCAGACGGCTACTTACTAAATCGCTTCGTCAAATTTTCGAATTTTGAAATGATATCTTAGGAACATATTTCTTAGATGTTTTATTATAAGAATGTGAAAAAAAAATTGATCTTTTAAGTTCTAAATCAAGATCTCTTTTAAATCACTCAAAAATCATTATCATGTTAAAGATTTATCACAAAATCATCATCAAATCAAATAATATCATGACTTTTCCTAAAATAACTTTTACTTAATATCATCTTTATTTTATCATTTTGTGTTCTATTTAGGGTTCTATTGAACTTTTATTAGCAAAAGAAATTATTAAAATAAAACGCACAATATACGAATCATGGAAATTATTGCCTGTTCACCGGGATTGCAATTTTTAAAGTACGAATTACAAAGTAACGTCGCGCTACTCTTCAAATGCACGTCTTAATAAGAGATATAAGTGTATAGTTATTTCTATTTCTACTCAGACTGACCTTGCACTGAGATATTAATAGATAGTAAATCGCTGTATAAGTATTGATTGCGATAGCATTGCTACATCGAGTTTGTCACATTTGTTTGATAGATAAATTGATAAATTCCAGTATTAATCTTTATATAAGAATTCAATTGTGTTACATAAAGCAGACATTGTAAATCTTTTTATTCATCCTCAAATCAATAAAGAAAAATTAATTTTTACATAAATAGAGACGTTAACTGTATTCTTAAATGTTTATTTAATAAA